TGGGGAGGGCGGGATATAAATAAAATTTATTATTATTATTATTATTATTATTATTATTATTATTATTATTATTATTATTGGAATGTGTAAATATTGAGCTCCTCCAGCCTTGGTTCTGGATTCATCCCTTAAACAGAAGGGGTGGTGGTGCTCCTTCCCACTTGCAGTAAACAGTTCTGTGCAACAGTGTCCTGCTTGGCAAATTTTGTCTTTTATATTAATGCTAATGGATTTTTCCTTAAGGAGAAACACCTTGATCATTTTCTCTTAGATGCAGTCAGTGGAGCAAGATTCACTGTTGAATCTCCTTAAAGAAAAATAAAGTAAAAAAGAAATCCAGCTTCATTTGGTTTATTGCACACTATAAACTATGTGCTCTCTTCTCATCTGCATGCAGGATAGTATAAAATGGATTTTCACCTTAAATCACAAAATGCATCATTAATAGTAAAGGGGAACGGAATAATAGCTCAGTCATTATGTTTGAGGAAAGAGCAGAAAGGACTGGAAGGAGAAGAAAAGGTCCTGAAGGAGTTTGAAGGTGATAGCTTCTTCTGGTAAGTATTGAGTCCCTTGAGACCTGTAGATCTTTTCTTACTTTGTCCTTCTCCTACACTCCCCTTTCTGAACAAGGTATCTATGTATAAAAGTGGGATTTTAACATTTCATTGTTTTTTTGTCAACATCTCATCACACTCTGGCATAACCAAGAAGCAGGATAGAGAAGGCAAAAGCTCCATTGTGGAGGAATCTGCTTTGAATGTAGAAGATCCCAGGTCCTGCCCCAGGAATGCTCACTAGATTCCACCAGGGAATAGTCATACCTCAGTGGTAAAACATCTGTGTGCAGAAGGTCCAAGGCTCAATGCCTGACATTTCCAGGTAGGGCTGGGGATGTCCCCTTGCATGAAAACCTGGTGAGACATTGCTAGTCAAGGTGGACAATACTGAGCTAGATGGACGAATGGTTTATTTCAGTGTAGTGAAAGACCTTCGCTCCATGGTAGAGCAATTTGCATGCAGAAGATCCCTGGTTCAATCGCTAATATCCCCAGGTAGGGCTGTGAAAGACTCCTGACTGTAACCTATCAATGGGTGATATGTGGTGTGCCATGTAAAATTCCAATTAAAATAACATGTTGTAATTATTATCATCCAGTGTTGGAAATGTAGGTATTGAGTGAGGATTTACCCCTCCCAAGCCTATGATGAATAGCTAGATAGATATAAATTTGCTTGAATATCATTATATTATCATCTTCCATATCTAATTAATTATTTGCAATGATTAAATAATAGTTTTCTCTTGGCATAATTTGCCTGTAAATAAACATCCACACTCAACAGCTGATACCATTTCCATTGCACCACTGAAGTGACATTTCCCCCCAATCACCGACCTTGGAAAGAAATACTTATTTTTGAAGCAATAATGCAACAGGTGGGAAAAAAGTTTGTGAAAATTATTTTAATTTTATTAGAAGAAGGCATTTTAAAATATAACTATTGCCCAGAATACAATTTTGTGGAAAGCTGCAAGCAGCTTGGTTTGAAATATGATTTATATATTTTCTTGTAAATACTGAACACATTTCACTGTAGATTGTTCTTCAGGTAGTCATGCAAATAGGACTTTTACCTCTATTAAAAGTGTCCGGATTGCACTTAGCTACTACGGAACTGCACTTAACCCTTGTAGATTGCCAAAATGTTCAATATCATCATAAAGGCTTAACTCACTAGATATCCATTAAGATAAACATCAAATGCGTTTACTTTCTATAACATCTTTGAACACTGGAATGCAAAACATTAATTAGCATCAATAAACAAGAGCCCACAGAGACAGTGCAGGACAGATGCAATGATTGCCATTACCAATGTTCAATTCCAGGGAATATGATGCTTCAAAGGGGGGAAAGAAAGCATCCTAGCTCCCTGCCAGTGAGTTAATAAGATCTACCTTCTGTTTCCCATTCCTCTGACAACAATAACAAAAGCAAATGGAAGTCTCTGTACCTTGGAACAGATCCTCCACAACTGTTAGGTACATTTTCAAACAGTCTCTTGATCTCCTGTTCCTCTTCTAAATGATTTCCCTAAACACAGTCACGCAGCACACTTTGCTGACTGCACATTGGTGACTGCCAAGGCATTGTCTAGCCAACACCCATTGATATTATCAGGCAGAACCTGGCAGTTTTTGGGGAATGTGTCTCTGTGTTCAGACTGGAGTTCTTACCTACAGAGGTGGTGGTGGGAAACCAACGTGGCAGCCAGGTGTCCTGGGCCTGGGGGTTAACCCAAACCACACGGTCTAGGTCCGGTCCCAAATCCAATAATTCAACAAGGAGTCAGTCCAACAGCGACAAGGCAGGAAACCAGGCTAGGTCAGGCACAAGGTCTCAGGCAAGTTCCAGCAAGCAGCAATGTTGCTCCCGCAACCTGGAGCGGGGTCCAGCAGCCTTTTATCTCTGACGGGGTAACGACCAGTCCTGATCCCCCAGTGACTCACCTCCCTGTTTCACCCGAAGGCGAGCACTCCTCCTGCGAGTACTCAGGTCTCTCCTCTCAGACCTGAGTCTCTGCAGCTCGGGAGATGTTGGTGGGTTACTAGACCCAGAGGCCGCCTCAGCCTCTCCTGGTAGTGGAGCAGCTGTACGTGATTGCCCAGCAGAGGGCAATGAGGTAATCCCCGCATCTGGAGCCAGGGCAGGCTCAGGCCCCTGACTCAGCCCAGCTGGTGCTTGCTGCAGGGGAACCTGTGGAGACTGGGGCTCTTCAGAATCAGGCCCCAGACTCGATTCAGATGCTGCCTGAGGCAGAGGATCCAGTGCAGACCGAGACTCCTCCGGCTCCGAGTCCGAGCCCGAATCGCAGGTCACCATACCAGGTGGTCAAAGACTTTCAAAAATGGGTGGTAAGTCTCACACTCAGCATCTGACTGCTGCCCTCCAGTCATTTCTGACTGGGCCTCCCCTGAGTTCTCCCACCAACTTTTGGGGGGCAAATGGCACATTTACAAACAAGAGAAACTGTTGCAGGCACAACACATACAAAGTCAGGGACTGGCTGGGTGAAGTGAAGTGGTTGAAGCTGCCTGACCAAGAGCCTCCCAGGGAAAGCACAGAGGGAGAGGAATTGGACCCTGGCTCCTGGTGGTGGGAAACTGGCCACACCCCAGAGGAGGGGGGAAAGCTGGGAAGAGCTGGGAGCTTGGAGAAAGATGAAGGGGAGGAAACAGGCAGGTGCACCAGCCCACAGGAAGTAGTCTTGGCAGCTCCTCCACAGAGCCACCCTGACAGCCTGCAAGCTTCCTACCTTCCTACCTTCCAGAATAAGGCATCTACTGCATGTCACAGAGCAGAGAGCCAGGGAGAAACAGAGAGGGTCCATTGGGACTCGTGTGGCCAGAGGGAGAAGCCTGACACAGAGGGCTAGAGTGAGTGGGGGGAGTTACAAGCCAATCTGGGCAACTGCTTCATCTTCATGTAAGGAGCAACCCTTAGAAGTCTCTATGTACAGTGGTGCCTCGCAAGACGAAAAGAATCCGTTCCGCGAGTCTCTTCGTCTTGCGTTTTTTTCGTCTTGCGAAGCAAGCCCATTAGCGGCTTAGCGCTATTAGCGGCTTAGCGGGCTTAGCGGATCATCTGATAAGCTGCTTAGTGGCTTAGCGGATCAGCTGATAAGCGGCTTAGCGGATCAGCTGTTAAGCGGCTTAGCGGCTTAGCAGATCAGCTGATAAGCGGCTTAGTGGCTTGGGGAAAAGGGGGGGGAGGGAAAAAACCCTGCAGGAACTCGCAAGACATTTTCGTCTTGCGAAGCAAGCCCATAGGAAATTCGTTTTGCGATGCACCTCCAAAACGGAAAACCCTTTCGTCTAGCGGGTTTTCCGTCTTGCGAGGCATTCGTCTTGCGGGGCACCACTGTATTCTGTGTTAGAAACTAACTGTAAGTTAGCCATTGTGTCACTGTCTTTTTCTGTTCTGTGAATAACCTATTCGCCTGTCAGCTCCCTGACATGTGCACACACTGCAACCAAGCACGCTATTGGCTACAACAGAAAGCATCTTTCAGACCTAAAAGTAGGAGGAGTGGAGCCTAGGGACACCAGGAAAGACCTCTGTGAGGGCATGTTTGTCCACAGGCACCACGTTGGCAATCACACCCCTCCACAGGCCACACCTCTTGTCCCAAGGCCACACCCCCTCAACAGCTTGACCTCCTTGAATGCTTTTACCTGGCTGGAACACATTATTGGCCTAGAATAATGCCTCTTGTTTAGCAGGAGAGATGATAGAGAGAGATGTGTGTAGAGATCTCTGACTTTTGCATGGCTGGAGTCTAGACTACTTACAAAGGTAATAGTCTCATCCATTGTTCCACCCATTGTTCTGCCCTTGCCCAGGAAAATGAGGCTCCTGGAAAGTTCTCCACAAGGAATAAAGTTTCCCATCCTTAGCAGGGGTCAGCAAACTTTTTCAGCAGGGGGCCAGTCCACTGTCCCTCAGAACTTGTGGGGGGCCAGACTATATTTTGAAAAGGAAAAAAAAAATATGAACGAATTCCTACGCCCCACAAATAACCCAGAGATGCATTTTAAATAAAAGGACACATTATACTCATGTAAAAACACACCGAGATTCCCAGACTGTCCATGGGCAGGTTTTAGAAGGCGATTGGGCTGGATCCGGCCCACGGACCTTAGTTTGCTACCCATGTTTTAGAGCAGTGGTTCTCAACCTGTAGGTCCCCAGATGTTGTTGGACTACAACTCCCATCATCCCTAAGCTCTGGCCTTGCTAGCTAGGGATGATGTGAGTTGTAGTCCAACAACATCTGGGGACCCACAGGTTGAGAACCGCTGTTTTAGAGGAAGGGGAGTTCTCACCTTTCAGAACCTTTCCCTCTGCCCTGGATCTTAAATGCCATATATATATGGGCTTCCCTTATTTTTTCAGTATCCTCACACACACTCTGTGGCAACTTTCAATGGCAGCTCAAATTGTCCAGGCAGAGAAACTACTCACTTGTCCAGCAGTGTCCAGAATGTCCAAATAAGCAGGTTCATCATCTATACGTACTTGTGTTTTATAAGCATCCTCTGCGAGGGGAGAAGCAAAAGAGAAAGGAAATAAACCATATAAGCAGGACTGCAGGCATTCTAAGCTAAAGGAAGAAAAAAGACAAAGTTGGGCAGCAATGCAACTTTAATTTCTGCAACGAGAAAGGAATAATTCTGCCACATGCATGAATCAAGGAAAGTTCCTTGCATAATTCATTCTTCTTATGACAACGGAGTTGGGAGGTGGTATGTTTGCTACAGTCTCCTATAGATAAGACACCTATAGAGTCTTTTCAAAAGTGCCCTCCTCTTGCTGCCTGCAGAATGCTCTCCCCAGTGAGGCTGCTTTGTCATCTTTTATTATTTGTTTATTAAGTTTATATACCACCATTCATAGGAATATCACAGGGCAGCTCACAACATAAAAATATAAAATGAGAAGACAGAATGCCTAATTAAAAAAAAAGCACAAGCACAAAAACAAACCAATAATCCTGGGTGAAGTGAAGGCCCAAGACAGGTGTTGATCATAATCTGAGCTGCGCACAGGTGGACTGAAGTAAGCTACCACCATTCCTGTGGAGCCTCTTTTTATTGAGACAAATATGCAAGCTAGGCAGATACATTTTTGGGCTGTGACCTTTACACATCTTCCGTCCCGAGATCGTGGGGTGGTACAAAGCTATTTCGGCACCTGTTCCACAGCGTCATTTTCCCCTTGCACTGTGTATGATGAATGGAGACAAAGGTCTCATGGAAAAGGGTTACAGACAGGACACCGCTGACTGCTGAGACCGCAAAAGGAAACGATGTTCCAGACAGCCATGGCTTGTCTGAGGGGGAGTTTTTCCTGCACCCCAGGGTCACGCGTGCAGGCAGATTGTGGCTGCCTACTGGTGGGGAAGTGTGCTCCCTCCGGACCCCACTATCCACTCCGCGATATCCCTACACCTGGGGTCAAGGTACTGCTCTATTTCAAATGATTCATGAGATGAGATGTTCTTTTATGCCTAGCTAATTATCTCTGACATTTTTTTTCTGCTAGGGTGTTGTAGCTTTCATAGAACTCTAGGAACCTAGAAAGCTGCCTTGAGTCACACTATTGTCCCAACTTGCTCCATATTGGCTAAAGTGGCTGGCAGAAGCTCTCCAGGATTCCTAGACTGATCATATTCCAAGCCCTACCTGAAGATACCAGACTTTGAACCTGGGACCATCTGCATGCAAAGTAGATGCTCCACCAATGAGCAACGGCACTTTCCTAAGCAGCTGGTGAAGGCTGAACATTTGATCTGTGGAGAGGAGGAAAGTATGCTTCATGTCTCATTGGCTGAAAAGCAGCTGGGGGGGTCAGCTTTGGTTATTATTATTTAAAGAAAACCTTTAAAAGTTTGCTTCCTCAGTCTATTACTTTTTCGGTTTAGCAAATTGGCTTTTATGCATGCATAACATTAAAAAGAAATTCTACACAAACTGTTGCCTTCCCCCCATAGTCATAGGCTGCTGTCTTCCAAGTGGAAAATAAGCACCAGCTAATATTTGTATAGATTATTTTGCTCCACTGTATATTTCACGCCCCGTCTTGTTATTCATATTTTCTTGTTAAGGTTAAATGGAGCCGAAGCGTCGGACAATATTTATACTGCAACATGGGCTGCAAATTATCTCTGTTGTTTAATTAAACAACAATGCAAGACAGGCGGTGTGTTTATGGTGATGGATGGTGTGCCTCGCTTGCGCAGTGAGCTGTGAGGCGAGGAGAAGGACCGGGAGTTCCCAACAACATGCCTGAGAAAGACCATTTATCAGCGGGAACATATGGACAGTCAGGTCCTATGTTACAATTCAAACTAGCCCTCTGCACCTAAGAGCCCATCACTTGGGCTGCCTGATATTTGGTATCCCCAGACTGCCCCTGCCCCTTTAATCTATCCTGCTCACACACCTCTCTCAGACTTAAATTTGAGAAGTTGTCTTTATCTATCCTCTTATAGATCAAAGGAGCTAGACTAGTTACTTAGACTCGAACTAGAAACATTTATATCCCAATTCTATACTTCCTACAATCAACAACTTTGCTATTTTATTACCTACAAGCATATCTCTCTCTGTGTGTGACTGCAACAGGTAAAATCTACTCTCCAACCAGTATTTACTAGCCAAATGCTCCTCATTCTGCATGCAAAAGGGTTTCAATAGTTAATTGGCCCTGTTACCCCCATGCATTAAAAAAAATCATGAAAACTGATGAACAAATAAGGAAATTGAACTTAAAACTAATACGAGGAACTGAGAGAAACCATTATTGGTGGATCAGCCCATCTCTAGCCATAGCTGCCTGGTCCCATCACCTCCTGGCAAATAGAAGGGGAAGAAATGGAGGCAGTGAGAGATTTTACTTTCTTGGGCTCCATGGTCACTGCAGATGGTGACAGCAGTCACGAAATTAAAAGATGCCTGCTTCTTGGGAGAAAAGCAATGATAAACCTAGACAGCATCTTTAAAAGCAGCTTGCTGACAAAGGTCTGTATAGTTAAAGCTATGGTTTTCCCAGTAGTGATGTATGGAAGTGAGAGCTGGACCATAAAGAAGGCTGATCACCGAAGAATTGATGCTTTTGAATTATGGTGCTGGAGGAGACTTTTGTGAGTCCCATGGACTGCAAGAAGATCAAACCTATCCATTCTGAAGGAAATCAGCCCTGGGTGCTCACTGGAAGGACAGATCCTGAAGCTGAGGCTCCAATACTTTGGCCACCTCATGAGAAGAGAAGACTCCCTGGAGAAGATCCTAATGTTGGAAAGATTGAGGACACAAGGAGAAGGGGACAACAGTGGACGAGATGGTTGGACAGCGTTCTCGAAGCTACCAACATGAGTTTGACCAAAGTGTGGGAGGCAGTGGAAGGCAGGAGTGCCTGGCATGCTCTGGTCCATGGGGTGATGAACAGTCAGACACAACTAAACAACTAAACAACAACAACAATAAGGATTTGAATTATTACAGCAGTGTCCCAATGTGTAGCTAGGACTACATGCTGCCATGATCAACACCCCTACTTTCCATTTCAGAAGAGGGAAATCAATCTTACTCCAGGTTCTATCACACCTGCAAAATCTCCCCTCCCTTTGAAATCACCCAGCAGTGGCAGTCAAGTAGGACCAAGTGGTGCCTGTTATACAATATTGTTTTTGTTATTGATTTTTCTTTGACACACATTAGCATTCCAAAGCACAATCCCTCAAAGATGTTGATGGAGCAAAGCAGCCCATCTTCATTTGCTCGGTGTCCCTGCTCTTTAGTCTATACAGCGTTTAGTTGGTTAATTAGAATTCTTGGTGTTGAGCTTTGATTAGCCACATCTTAAAATCTCCTAGGAGCCAAGTTGGGCCATCTTCCCGCCGTAGCACACTCAGGCAAGTGTCACGTTACATGAAGGTTTCTGTCAGGCACCACAGGGAGGGACCATAAAACCTGCTTTGCATGCAGAAGATCTGAGGTTCAATCCCTGGTGTCTCCAAGCAAAGAATTGGGTAGCGGAGAATGGAAGAAAGCTCTGCTTGAGAACTTGGGGAGCTACTGCAAATCAGAACAAATAATAAAAAGCTAGATGGACCAGACTTGTATCCTATGTTCCTGGTTTCATGAAAAATGTTTACAGCATCTGGGACATTTTAGTTTAGAGAAAATGTGAATTAGAGGCAACATGAGATAAGTTTACATGGAGGAAATGTAGAGAGGGAAAAGTCTCTCTCTCTCTTTCATAACATTGGAACTTGTGGACATGCAATGAAGCTGAAGATCGGATGATTTGGGACAGCTACACAGCACATTGCCAACAAAGGTCTGTATGGTTAAAACTATGGTTTTCCCAGTAGTGATGTATGGAAGTGAGAGCTGGACCATAAAGAAGGCTGATCGCCGAAGAATTGATGCTTTTGTATTATGGTGCTGGAGGAGACTCTTGAGAGTCCCATGGACTGCAAGAAGATCAAACCTATCCATTCTGAAGAAAATCAGCCCTGAGTGCTCACTGGGAGGACAGATCTTGAAGCTGAGGCTCCAAGACTTTGGCCACCTCATGAGAAGAGAAGACTCCCTGGAAAAGACCCTGGTGTTGGGAAAGATGGAGGGCACATGGAGAAGGGGACGACAGAGAATGAGATGGTTGGACAGTGTTCTCGAAACTACCAGCATGAGTTTGACCAAACTGCGTGAGGCAGTGGAAGACAGGAGTGCCTGGCGTGCTCTGGTCCACGGGGTCACGAAGAGTCGGACACGACTAAACAACAACAACACAGCACATAGTTAACACTATGGGACTTGTTCCTACAGGAGACAGTTAAGGCCAACTTAGATGGATTTTAAAGAGCATGGGCCAAATTCATGGAAGATAAGGCCATTGATGGCCACTAATTCTGACGGCTATCCTCTGCCTCCACAGCAAGAAGCAATATGCTTCTGAATACCAGTTGCTGGAAACCACAAGGGGTGAGGGGAGTCCTAATTTTGTACTTCCCAGAGGCATCTGGTTGGCCAGAGAAGGCTATTCTTATGCTAGATCAGTTCATAATCTTTGGGAAGGAGTGGTTTGGATGTGGTGATGCAGCAAATGACCAGATTTCTTTGAATTGGCCTCTGATAATTTCCAACAGCCTTTGCGATTTATTCCAATATATCTTGAATCATTAAGCAAATTGATCCTCATTACTGTTATGGCAACGATATAAATGCAAATCAAGCTTGGCATGGGAATGTCTTTCTCTCTGCTATCTATGTATTTTTTGTATTTACTTTTACTGCTCAATGGCTCAGAAGTTAATTCCCTTTGAAAAGCAAATTGTACCATTGGATATTATATTAAAATTAATTAAGTCCTTGAAATTCAATAGGTACTACACACAGCTGAAGTACTTAAGTCACCGATAAGGAAACAATACACATGCAAATAAATAAAACAAATTACCAAGCGGTATCCAGAGTAATAAAAAATAAAATAAAATACTGACACTGCTCTAATTCTAAATCTTCCCCCTATA